CTTTCTCATTTTTTACAAAATTTATCAATAACCTCTTATGTTGTTGTTATTGAAATCTTGAAAACTTTAAGGTGCTTTTTAAGGATCTTGGTCTTATTTCTATATATAAAGCTACAGACTATGTTATATAAGCTTTCATTCTATTGTTTAATATCTTGGATCCATTTTTCTATTACTTTTTTAACTTCTGCCTAACTCTTGTCAAATAGTTCTTTTGTTTTCCTGATATACTAGAAAATTTTACTTTGAGATTTGTCCTATATAATTAATTTTTCACTTTGGATCTTGAAACATTCAAAAAGATGTTTCAAGGTTTCTTCTTATAATTTACATATTGAGTATATTATATTTAAATATAAGTCTAATTTTCTTTTCTATATCACTTGGAAAGTAGGAAGCTTATTATATATTAGGTTTATCAGAAAACTCTTGTCCTTGTTGATACTAAAGGAGGTGAAAGGTATTGTATGAATTGAATTGTCTTTAGAAAATTTGCTAGTTAATTTCTTTAATGGGGGAGGCATCTTCAACTGCCTCACTTTCATTCACTCTAATCCTCTTCTGTTCTCGTTCCACAGGACCAAACTCTATATCAGAATATACTTGACATCCCCGTCGTGCTATTTGATGGACCGTTTTTCTTCCCTTCTTCTGCAATAACGAGATCAAATAACGAGCTGTTATGAGGGAACGAAGGGTTTAATAAAATCACTTGCCTTTTCAATTTCTAACTCTACTTCAGTTAGTTCGGATTCTATCCTTATTGATGTGATTCGATCCCTTGTATTCCAGATTTTTTTATTTTCTTCGTTCATTGTGATACTCTATGAAAAACACAGTGTTTAATAATGATACAAAAAGGTCTAATAAATGCACTTTTGAGACATTGGATGGGAAGGAAGTTCACAAAAGCCACGGACGCGCTGGCCCTCCTCCGGTGACACGCAGGCCCACGGGTTTAGCTTAAGGAAGTATTCCTTGTTCGGACACGCGGGCGCTACCCGTCAGTTTTACACGCGGGCAAAACCTTCTCAACACGCTGGCTGCCGGATTAGCTATGGAGTATGTTGACACCACCTGTTGAGTGCGTGAAATTATCATAAAAAAATATACTTTCCTGCAATTCACCCTCTAAACTACAGACTGCCTTATAAGCAGGATGTGTAGTGTTTGCGTATATTTTCTTCAGAAACCTTAGCTCTTCGGACAAGGCCAGGTGGGAGCTATGCTTTGTCGCTGAATATGGGTTTTTTTCGATCCAATAAATATCCCATGCGTTCACGTTTCCCCAGGTGTTAGGATCCTGGTCCCAGTAATCTAATAATAACCAGAATGTTCATACTCTTCATTGACTTGTGAAATACGAATAACTGACTAACCTGAGTACCTCAACTTCGAGCTAATCTCTTTTGACATACGTATGCTTTAACAAGAAAAAAAGAAGCGCGTACAATACGTAAATCAGGTATGTATTTATTCGTTGATGTATTTATTGGTTAAAAAATTCGATTAAAGGATTTCGGATTTACGCAGGTTAAAGTATGGTCGAAGTGCGGTTGAAGTGTGGTTGGTAAAATAATTAATTATACAATATATCGTAATATAATTATGGTCAAAGTGCGGTTAAAGCGCGGTTAAAGTACGGTTAAAAGTACTGCTAAAGTGTGGTTATGTTAGTCGGAAATATACTTATGTGTCATAGACACTAGCTCCACTATAAAACAAAGCAAAAAATCTCTATCGAACCCTAACATGAAAAATGGTTGAATGGACCGATGCTCAAATCCATATACTTATCGATGAGCGTAGAAATAGAAATGATGAATATCATAATCTTGGAAGGAATCGGAACGAATTTTGGGATAACATTGCTATCAAAATCAATCGAGAACATAACACGAGCTTTAATGGGTATCAATGCAAAGAAAAATTTATGAATCTTGTTCGGGATTACAATGTAAGTATAGCATAATAAGAAATTTATCAGGATCCGATTTTTTTGCATACGTCTTAGCTATTATGGCTAATAATCCATGTCAATTAGTTGATATGTGATTATATGGCAGGGAATCGAAGAGCACGAAGAAGCCGAACGGGAGCGCAATATTTCGATGAATTCCGTACACATTTTTGGGAGAGGCCTGAGGATGATTTCGATAGAATCCGTAATATAAATAGCTTAAACCGTAGACAACGTAGAATTGGGGGGAATAATATACCCGCACCATCTACTGGGGAACTTGAGCACGCATTAGGCCAAATGTCACCGAGAAATCGAAGAAGCCGAAGAACATCTGTTGAAAGTCGAAGTCGAAGAAGTCAAAGACATTCACCCTATCCATCTTCAACCCATGAAAATAACACTAATATAAACAATCCTGAGCAAAATACTAACGTTCAACCACCGCCTTACTCACGGAGTGGGGATGCTGTTGCATCTGGGACCACAAACGAAGCACAAAATAATGATCGGAGACCAGTTCACGCTAATTCGGAAACGAATCAGAGCCGTGCCGTTTCTAGCCACGAAGTAGCTGTCCCCGACAATAACTCAACATCTAATTTGCCGAATAGGTCCTCATCTCAAAACGACAATGATGTTAGCATGTACGACGTAGGAGACTCACATGGTGAGGACACTAACGTGTCTAATATGGAGCCGATTAATGAGGAGGGGTAAAGATTCTCGATCATATGTAACATCTTCACTAATAAAAATCTCGCCAATCAGAAAAAATTTATTATACAATAAAAAATACATGTGAAACGGGAGCTATATACCCGCTATTTTTTGATAATTTTTTTGATCCTAGCCCTTTTACAAGGTGGGGTGTTGTCGACTGTCACCCGATCCTTCAACAACCCAACAATGATCTCGATTATCCTTTTTACGTTATTTCTTAGTGTATCGAGATTTTCTTTGATTGCCGTCTTCGAGAGATTGATTTGATATTCACTTTCACTGTGCAATACAGACCATCGGTGGTGAAAACGAGAAAATGCCAATCCATACCCGTGGATACAATTCCGTAGAGGTAGTCGTAGTCGTCATTCCCAAATGCTTGTTCAGCCGTCCTTTTTTTCTTATTCGTGTGATATGCACTTTCTAGTTGCATGATGTTCTATCGTTAATAAGCGTACAGAAGTTAGTTAAATGTAACACGTCAAAATAAACACGAGGTGATGTATAATCATACTTGTAAATATCCCATTTTGATGTTACGGGGTTTACCTTCCGCAATACACATGAGATCTTCTTTCCCCTTGATAGCATAATCAACTCGCCCAGATGCTTCTTCACCAGAGACGTCCTTCTGCAATGATATATAAAGTTTTTCCTCTTTGGTAAGTCTTCGAACGATGGCAAGCGACGCATGTAAGATGGAGGAAATAAATTCACAGCGGGTCGCCTCGTTGGCGTCGGTCATAGTCTCGATATTCGTTAGTATTAGTATTATGTCTGCTACACAATGCTTAAACGCTTCTTCGTTGTCATCGATTTTTACGGAATCTATAATCAGAAGATATTAAATATCATATCTAGAAATTTTCGATCGACTTGTCGCAGAAATAAAATATACATACCTGGAATGAATTGTTTGATGCTTGTTATATCCTCCCCGTTAACCTTATATTTGCGGAGTACGTCTTTCAGTTCTTCCAACGTTTTATATGTCGAGAAACCTCTTAATTTTTGCTCTGATATCTCTTCAATTTCAACTTCAACAAATTTTTTTCTAAGTTCAGGAATCTCGGCATTCTCCCGTGTAAGTTTATCATTCTCGGCTACAAGCTTGGAGATCTGTTCTTTTAATGATTCGATTTTAGATTGCGTATTTGCCATTTTTATATAAATACGGATATGTTTAATTATATTAGTGAATAAAAAAAATCGTGCATTATTAATTATCCAGCGAACATATCGTTTATGGAGAAAACAAGCAATCGCTGATAATCGGTAAGGATATATACAACGATCAACCAATCAAGATGAGGCAATCACCTGCTAATTTCCCATCTAATCAGAATAATTAAAAAACTGTTAACTTTAGGAAAATTATTAACCAATTACATCACGTTATAATGGGCCTTAGGGAAGCGATGTCGTGTGTAGAAAATCGGATGCCTACTGCCCGTTCTTTATTATATAAAAAAATTACCAAACGGCATACAGATAAAAAGATATATGTTTCAAAAAAGATGGATCAAGCAGTTGGTTTTTTACAATTTATCTAAGATTTCCTGGGCGACTTCAGGAGGATATATATCGTAATCATCATTATCTATACATTTTTGTGCATATTCTGGACTAACGAAATGAAGGGGATTTTCTTTAAAAATTTTTTCTTCCGGATCATCTAAATTAATATAATAAATTAACATTTTTCAATTTTATTTAAGTTACATCAACATTTTTAATTATCTTTAACTTTAGCAAGATTTTACTTACCAAAGCTGTCTCTTTTATTTCTGTGTTGACGACTAGGATTAGGTGTCCTTTGGCTAGATCTTGGATTAGATGGCGTTTGAGTGACGATTCTGGAGACATTAAAAGAAATATCCCTAGTTTGGAAGGTATTATTGTCATTGCTCTTGGGGACGGTGCTATCGTTGTTCTTGGGGACGGTCTTATCGTTGCTCTTGGGGGTGGTACTATCGTTAGTACTGCTCATCTTCACGGTCCTAAATACAAAATTCGCAGTAAGTAAATATGTTTTTATAGTCTTAATTAATAGTGGTATATTGAACGATAGTACACTAATTCGAATTAGCGTTATAAAACGTTATTGGTACCCACCTTACAAGAGGAAAAAATGAAGTATTTTATACCGTCCAGGACCATTAAATCTATTCCAAAACCAAATATATTTTCGTCATTTTTTCGGTTAACCACTTAATGTGATTGTCTTCAGTAAAACACGACGATCTCACTGGCGGAGTAAAAAAGTTAAGGATCATGACGATCTGGGAATTCCAAATCCCTATAACATATGATTCTCGATAAAGCTACTAATGAGAATTGATAAGCCCATTCCCCTTATGGTTCTTTTAAATCTAATTCGTGGTTTCTTGCCGAAGGTGTGCTAATAGCGGTAAGGAAAGTATTATATATTTACGTAAATCGCATTACGTATTTAACCGACGAATCAGTGATCAGCGTAGAAGTTCGTGAAACATGCGTAAATCTTTTTTTCCATTATATGTATTTAGGTTAGAAGATGTTTCTATAATAAACATGCTTCACGATATGATCAAGCGTAAACGAATCTCGAAAAGGAAGTAAGGGACGACAACCCGACAATCTCTATTAGTGCATATATCAAGGGACTTATTTCTTGGGAAGTCGAAATCTCCGCAATCTCCGAGATCGTCGTGTACTTGTCAATCTATACGAGTTGCGTAATCTATATACTATAAATAGACACTGATCCGTCCAAAAAAAAATTTTCATTCTCTTCCTTGTATTATCTCACTTCAGCCGGGGGTCATAAACGCATCGCATAAACCAGAAATTTTTTACGCCGTCCACTAATATAAACAATGTCTTCACCCTCACCTTCATCGCCG